TAGCGTGAGTATCGAAAATTTTTCGATTTCGGTTTTAAAAGGCAACGTTAAGTTATGTTCTGTCATGTTAAATGCCGTGACATAGACGATATTTTGTTTGTTAACTTCATTTATTGATGAGGTTACTGCTAATTCGCATTTTTCTTCGAGTTCCTGTGATGGGACTACGATTCCTGTCGTTTTTTCCATGTCAGTCGGGATATCTTGTAATTGGCACTCGATTATGACTGTTTGATGAGGTGCAATTATTTGTTTCTTGGTGAGAACAAGAGGAAATTTTTTCACTCGGTTGGTGCGTCTAGGTGCATTGGCGGGTTTAATTTCGTTGATTTGGAGTGTCAAATCTGGAAAGTGAAGTAGATTGTATTTTGAGCAGACATGTATATGGTGTTTTTTAAAGAAAGGGTTTCCCAGGATCGTTGAATTCGCTGAATTCAGCACTAGGAACGTTTCCGTAAAGTTCATATCTGCCATATGAAATTCAATGGTTACTTCAGTTTCAATTGACACCAGTTGGCCTCCTGCCATTCGCACTTGCTTTAGGTTTGATTTTGCCGTTTTATAGGGTGCGAATAGTGTTTTTTCGTTTTTAATTTCATCAAATGTTTGTTTCGAAATTACGTTTGCACATGCTCCTGTGTCAATCAGTACTCTTCTTGGAAGGCTTGGCGCTAATCTGATTTTCATATAAGTTAGCACTGTTCCTTCGGTTGGGATGACTGCGTACAGATCAATAATTTCATCGGCTTGTACCTCTTGAATATTTGATTTGCGTCATTTTCGCGATTTACGTGATTTTTGTGATTTAGATGAATTGACTGACTGACTTTGTGGCTGAATTAGTTTTTTGGTTCCATTTGGAACGGGAAATTCTGTTGCTGCTGTCCCTGTGGCTTGGGTTTGTGCCAACATTGGCTGATAGTATGGCCAAACTTCCCGCAGTGGTCACAGAACTTTGATCCAGTGCGTACTGCTGATGTACTAGGATTTTGGGTGTGCACCTGCTGCCTCATTGGTTGTGAGGCTTGTTGGGCAAACGGGTTGTTCTGTTGTGGCTGCGTGGCTGTCGCTTGTTGCTGTTGGTGTTGTTGAGGGTACATCTGGTTCGGAGAGAATTGGACATTCTGTTGTGTATGAGGATAGTTCTGGCTTTGTTGGAACTGTGGGTTCGGTTGAATTCCAGGTATCTGTGGGTGAAACTGGAACATTTGTGGGAGGATCTGCATATTTTGGAATCCAGGGAAACCTTGGTTTCCGTATCCCCCATCATTTCTCTGCTGTCCGTTCTTTTTTTCTTTACCAAATCTACCCCTTCTTTGATTGTATCTCTGTTGTCCATTCCCTTGATATCCATTCCATTGATTAGGGCCAGATGTATTGTCCTGGTTTGGGCCTTGTCCAGTCCCTTGGCTTTGTGCATTTTTTCCGTGATTTTGTTGTTGTTGGGTTTGATTATTATTCCCATCAGTGTTTTGGCTATTCAGTTGAGAGCTCTGCTGGGTTTTTCCGTTGTCACCTTGTGGTCGTGACTGGATCGTTTTTCTCTGATCCGATAGCTCACTACGGACTTCGTTGAGTTGTTTCTCGATTTGTTCCTGGGCTGTTGTTAGTTTTGACAACGCACTGATTAGGTTGTGAGAAACTGTATCTCCAATTTCATTGAAACTATCTTCTGGGTAATCCTCATTACGACAGACGTCTCTAATTGTCATTTGTTTGCGTGCCAGGTTGCAAAGTTCTTGTACTGTTGTCGCAGCTGGTTCTTCCATCATCTTCGAACGGAGCCAGTTGGGCATGCCTTTTATAAAAAGACGTTTAATCTGGTTGTTCCTATGATCATTTTCTGCGTCAAGTTGTTCTTGACGTTGTGCCGTCTCTCCATGGAAACGCGCTGCGTCTGCATCGGCTGCCGCGCCTACTAGTGCTGCATCGAGTGGGGCAACGACAGGTAGATCCGGTGTCGGGTAGGCTCGTTGTGCCTTTTTTGTGAGGTTTACCAGGAAATTCTCTGGTGAGTCTCGCTTGATATCAAACTTTGATTGTTCAAGTTTTAGAACGTGGACCTCTTGCAATTGAGGGTTGCAAAAATGGTCGCGTAGTGCTGCTAGACTAAGAGGTACGTCGGCTCTTGTTAGAGCTGGCAGTGTCTGATATAATCGCAAGGCACTATCTCGCAGGTGCAATTGTAGAAAATTCGCTTGCTGAGCATTTGCGATTCCCGCAACTCCCACATATCCTTGGAAGAGCTGTTCGAATTGTGCGAAATCTTCGGTATCGCTTCCGCCAAATGGTTCGACTGAGATTTGAGCGTGCGCCATCTTATCACAGTAGTATGATTGTCAAGTCTGATTCAAAAATGATTTCGAATGAATCAGTCGCTATTTTATAGTGGAAATAATCAATGCCCAGTGGGTACTTATATTGTAAGGACGTAATTATCGTCTCTGAGAAAATTTATGGATGGCTCGTACTATGATTAGTTACGAGTAGGAGTTAATTAGCTCTCGTATTTATATTTTAAACTTTCTACTTTTTAAATTAACTTTTCTTGCGGCTTTAATATTATTCCACTATTTTTTTTTGAAATTTGGTTAGACTTTAAACACTGGATAGGTTTTCAGGCGGTTCTCATGGATGATTTCATATGACTGGTTTCAAATGAGCACTCATCAATTTTAATTTAAGCACCGAGAGTTTTAAGTTTACGTTTTAACTAACTGTTTTTGTACTTGTATCACTTTCCGGGAGAAGTATAGTAGTTGTCATCAACGCAAAACAGTTGAAGTTTCCTTTTGCCCCTCGCTGTCGTCTCTCACTGGCTGTAGTCAGTTTCTGTTTTTGCCCCGCTTTTCTGCTGTTTGAGCCAGTTACTGCCGTGATCTTGTTTTAGCTTGTGGCGTATTGAAGTCGTCTTGTTTTGGATGTCGTCTTGTTTTCACTCTCACTTTGCAATCAGCTTCAGCTTGTCTTGAAAGGTTGGTAACATCATCCCACTCCTGTCACCATGTTATATATCGTGTCTTGCTATGATAATTAATGATTGGAAATGAGGAATTTTGTTTGAGAGTAATAAAGGGATGCGCGGTCTAGGCTCAATATCTTCGACTCAGGGATGTGCTTCGTGATGTCTACCCCCTTCTCTTGAGTCTAAGCTGTTTGATTTATAAGAGTGAGGATTAATCTTTTAATTACTATCTTCTCGCTGCTTTATTGTAATGGCTCTCTCTCTCAATTAATGATTCAATTACATTCTAATTGATTGTTTGCATTAAGTAAATATGAGTTTAACACTTTGTCATTGACATATAATGGCATTGATATTTAAGTCTAATTCGCACCAATTTTGGTAATTAATAATGAGTAACTAACATAGGCGTGAAGCACTATGTGACAATAAGTTATTCTAGAATAGCTAGAGTTGTGGTTTTCCAAAAAAAAGTCAGTTTTTTTGTTTCCTTGCGTTCATGACTCTTTTCCAACTGTCTGTTGACTATGCTTAAATTTTCACATAAAGTAAAAAAAAGTTATGTTATTTTGATTTTGCCTGCGGGTTAAAACATAAATATTCTGAATATAGGGGCTTTAGCTTTCGTCTGGTTATCCGTGTATAGTTTTCTGCTGATCGGTTCTTTGAAGAAGCGGTATTCTCATATAGCCACAGTTCCAAGGTTGCAAACAAATGTTTTGAACTTAAATCGAAGATGCTGAAACTCTCCCTTAATTCTTTCAACGTTCTGAATAGGGTTTTTTAAGGCCTTGTATTTATCTGGCTAGGCCACTTCGAGCGCTGAGCACTAGAAGGTTATGTTTTAAAAGTAGGCTGTCAGAAGGTAGGTTGCCAGAATTCGTTGTACTATTGATGCTGGAAAAATAAAACTGTTGATAGAATGTTTTAGTTTTTTTGTTATTATGAAAAAATGTTTTCACTCATGCGATTAACAAGCGTTATCAAACTGGAATATAGACTTTTTTCGGGTTAACAACTAGCTTAACAAAATCAGTTGAATCAGTTAGCTCGGCTGTTCTGATAGCAGCCTGTCAACAGATTATTTTTGAGCATGTCTGCCTTTTAAATGGCCGTTCCATTCGAGTTTTTATAGTGGGTTGTAAATCAACTTGTTTTAGTTTTATTTTTTCGCTCATATTTTTTCGTTTTTTTTTCTTCACTTTAAGATTTTTTCGGCTTGAATGGTTTCGGCTGATGCATTTCTGTTTATTTCTTGATCATTCGTCGCTTTAGCACCAAAATTTTTAAATTGTTTTTGTGCTTACGGAAGGGTAAGTGTGGGGGAGGTGTAAACTTTAGGCATTTTTTTGGCTCAAAATGTTTTATAGCTCAATTTTGATTTTTTTCCGACGCAACAGCAGTCTACTCAAATTTTGTCTGCTCGGTATCCGCTTGATAAAGTTTATAATGTTTATTTAATACTGGCAGTGTTTCTCAGTATTTTTCCCTTTCTGTATCAGGGTTCGAGACAAGCGTTGAACAATCAATTTTTCGAATAATTTTTTAAACTTTTTTTCGACTCAGCTTGGGTCTTTTTTTCGGCTAGCTGCCGTTCATTTTTTTGTTGTATCGCAAGTAGTGCGAAGCTCCGCTTCGCCTCTGTGTAGAGATCACCATTTGTCTACGAATAGGCTAATCCCAATCAAGTTCTGCAATGTATACATTTTTGGCATAAATGAGCCAGTATAAACTACAGCTAGCGTACAAAGGTGTTCTATAAAAGTGAGTAGCTAATGAAGTGAATATTTATGTGCTCCACTTCACTTGATTATGCATGATGGGGCCAGTTGGTTGAATGGATTGTCTAAGTTTGGCCATGACGAATGAGAGTGTGTTATGGTCTCCGCTGTCGTGTTGGCTCACTTTTGTTTCCCGTTTATTCTCCTATTTGTTGATTTTAGAGTAGCCTCTACGTACAAGAATACATCGAATTTAAGAAAGGCAATATAATATAATAATGAAGATAATTTATGATTGATTCGCATTTTATCTGCATAAATTAAGGAAACATTTAACATTCATTATAATATCAACACGTCTTATCAGAGTTTTATCACAGGTAAGGCAAATTAAGACCATTTCAGACCAATAAGTTGTTGAATAGAGTGTTTAATTTTTGCAAGAGAGCTCAAACGGTTAAAGTTTGAGTGCCACCATCTTTGCGGAGGTTTTTGTTCGGACCATTGAAAATGGGGAGGAACTTTGTATTCGGGTGTGTTTAGTTTTTTTCTTTTTTTGTTTACACGCAAAATCAGGTACCATAAATAATCATCGGACAGGGATGAGCTGGGATGATTGATAGATCATATAAAAGCCTTTTCAGTCGTGGTTCGAACCATGTTAAAAATTTTCCAACTTTTTTTCTTGTGTCGAGAAAAGCCGGTTTAGAATTTTTTATTTTTGATCTTAATTTGAGCGAATAAAGCAAGTGAGCAGGCTTAAAACAGTTGAAGTATGCCTAATTTAAGGCTTTATTAAAAATTAATTTTAAGCAAGTAAAATTATTTTTTTGGAGTTTTGTAGCTTCTTTTTGGGAACCAAAAAATTCGAAAATTTTCTGCATTAAATTTTAAAATTTTTTAAAAAACTTTTCTAGTCATTTTTCTGCAAAAATTTTTGTCCCATTTTTTTTTACGTCAGATGCTCAAATTGTATGCTTAATGTATATTTTTACGTCAGATCCTTTTATCACACCAAGCAAAAAAACTACACTAACTTGGAAAAAGAACCTTTTTAACCACCGTAGTTTTCTAAAGACTATGATCGGAACATTCTGTGCTACTTGCACAGTAACAGGCTATCCTTGTCCTATTTTCTCTTTATTGGAGATTGCTAATAATTACCCTTTCTACATGGCTTTAAATAACAAGTAAATCTTTTTTCAAACTTTTCTTTTTGTCTTGTGAATAGAACAGGCTGTGGTTTTAGCGCTATGTTAAAACCTGCAGCTAATGAGCATACTGTTTCCCATTTTCCCCAAACAGGATTGACAACTTTTCCGGGATTTTTATAGGGCGATCTTTTCTGGGGAGCGGCGGTGAAGTTATTGCGTCCCCGCCTCTCAATCGTAAGGTCGGATGTATGAGGCCCCCCATGATCCGTGCTCGTTGCTTGCGGGTGAGGCAACATTACCCAGACGTGAAAAACCACAAAAATAAGTGCATGTAGTTCTTTAGCAGGGGCACAACAGCGGTTCGCCGTGATAAGCTGTACAGCTCGTATGCTGGTCCTTTCCCTCGTGGATAAAAAGGGTCTTAACTTAACTTAAAAAATGCTGATATTCTGATACTGAAATCAAAGTTTTATTGAAACTTTTCGTTTGCAAAATTCAAATGCAATAATGTTACTTTATCTCCAAAAAATTCAGTTTTTATTTTTCTCGATAACTGAACAAGCAAAGGTTAGTGACCGACTTCCTCTTCAGCGGCTTAAAACTTTTCCTAGCAGGTAGTTACTTGATATCAATGAACGTGGTCTCAATGGGAATATTTTTTGAAAAATCTTGAGAAAGTTTCGCAAGTACGTTTTTTTAGCTGAGTCGCGGCGGCTATTTTCTACGAGAAAGTTCTTCGTCCATTATAAGTCAAAATTTCAACCGTTTACTTCTAGTAGTTGTAGAGAACACGGTAGAAGCGTGGAAAAAATGCAACTTCTTTGTCCCAGAAGTGTAGTAATGGTAAACAATTTAAGAACTGTGCAATTTTGATTTAATTATTTTTCAGATTACGGTGGTGTGATTTAAATAAAATTCTAAATCAATTTCAAGTTGCTAGAAGTTCATCCTTAATACAACCGATACAAGTTGATCCTTGATACATCTTGGATGCATCAGTGCCTGGATTGAAGTTGAAATAAATCAACGTGTTTGCTGTTCCTGTGGTATAAGTGAAATATTATGGTGCGTGTAGCCTTCGTGCACCCTGATCTTGGAATCGGGGGTGCAGAGAGATGGCTAGTGGACTCTGCCCTTGCTCTTCGGTCTCTCAACCACCCCTTCGTCATCTACACTTCCCATTATGACCCCAGCCACTGCTTCGATGAAACAAAACAAATGCAGGTTGTGTGCAAAGGTGAGCAGTCGAAATTACTATAAAGACTGTATTTAGTTGCTTACATGGATCTCTTTAACTATAACCCCCCTTTTTCAAAAGGGGGAGATTAGTTACTAGATTTAAAATTTTCATATGCTTAACCGTTGATTTATTTCGTTAGAGGGGGGATATTTGTTACTACTAACCCGAGGGGGGATATAGTTAAAGAGATCCGATTTCATAGTGATGACTACATACGAGTTTACGTGTTAGCTGTATCCACATGGAACCTTTTTTCAATGAATAGATTGTATAGCTTTTAAAAATTTGTACATCGATAACTTTGAAGTAATACACGCATGGATCTTCGATTTTTGCCAGGGCAGATTGCGAAGAAATCTCAATAGAATTTTTGACGCAAGCGAAATTGATTAGCCCAAAAGCACTAAGTTGACGAAAGTGTATTTGCGCAACTGACGAAATTAAAAAAAACATGTCTACTTCAGGCGACTGGCTTCCGAGGAGTTTGTTTGGTGGCAGATGTGCTGCTGTGTGTGCCTATCTCAGAATGATATACCTCGCATTCTACATAGTCCTCTTCTCTCCATTCACTCACGACGTCTTCATTTGTGACCAAATATCGGCCTGCATTCCAGTGCTTCGGATGAGCAGGAAGGCCAAAATAGTGTTCTATTGTCACTTTCCAGATATGCTTTTGACGGCCAGAAAGACGATGTTAAAGAGAATATATAGAGCGCCTATAGATGCACTTGAGCAGTTTACTACTGGTTAGTCTACCATTTTCATTCATATCAATCTGAGACATCGAAATGTTAAGATTCTTTTTGCCTTGCGGCGATGTAACTCTACTTTGTTGATGCTTTTTTCAGTTTTTTTAACAAGCGGTGCTTATGTGAATATAACTATCCAAGTTTTCAACACAAATCGCACATGTGTGTGAGAAACTTCTGTTATGCGTTTTCAATCGTCACGGGCAATACAGCGTTTTATTCCCGGAGTTTGAAAATCAATCGCGGGCAGCAGATCGGTACTTGATATTTTTGTTTAAGACAAAAGCATCTATCATTCAGCAGTAGAAGGTTTTTTGAGACATTTTAGCTTGTTGTGGTTTATGTTTGTGGAGTTCAACCTCGTCTCTGAAAATTTCGAGCGTTAGATGATATAAGTAAACCTCCTTTATGGTTTCAGGTTTGGCTGACACGGTGCTGGTCAACAGTCGCTTCACTCTTTCAGTTTTCAGAGACACGTTCCCCTCTTTACAGCACAAAGCAGTAGATGTGCTATACCCCTGCATACACACGGAGTCTTTCGACTCCTTGGAGTCCAGCAATCAATCTGACTGGTTCGACCTGGATCCATGGTACAATAAGAACGACATATACCTGCTATCACTGAACAGGTTGCTACTTTCGATAAAACCTGTGTGTCAAATCCAAATTCTGGCAATTTTTCCGACTTTTCTGAAGTTGTAATTAATCATAGATTGAGGGTTGTTCTTTTCCCAGGAAAACGACAGATAATGTTAAAAGAAAGTGTAAAAAATCGAAATGGTTACGTCGGTTGCTACCGTTCTGTTGTTCCAGTTTGCTGTAATTAAAACAAGCAAAGGAATTAACGTAATAGTATGCAGTTTATCATCGATGTAAGTTCTTTAACCTGTTTTAATGTTGTAAAACTATATCGTCATTTTAAGTATTCTTATGTCGGAAAAGTTATTTGTTAAATATTTTTGATAGGTTTGAGCGAAAGAAGAATATAGCACTCGCAATCGACTCTTTGGCCCAGTTGCGAGAGAGTGAGAGGCTACCGAAGGATTTGAGTGACAAGATACACCTCATAATTGCAGGTAACCTATCATTTTGCGGGTTTTTTTTATAGTCGATGAATGTAGTTGAGACTCTTATATAGGCGGTGATTTTTCTCGTTTTTTTAGGAAACGTTCAGGCTCAAATTTTACTGCTTTTGCGGTTGACTTTCGATTTCTTTTTAAGTTCAGTTCATTTCTTTTGTAAAAAGCAAGGCAAACTCCCCTATCGAACAGCAAAAGTGTAAAGGTCACGAAAAATGTGATTGACTTCTAATTTAGAGAATAGAACTTAAATATCAGATTTCCTAGCGAAATAAAAAAAATTCGATTGATCCAGTTTTCTCAAGTTGGGCTAATTTTATCAAAAAAAGTGTCACATAAATTCCTCTAGAAAATCAAAGAGCTTTAAGGCCATCTATTTGCTTTGAAATTAAAAAGTTGAGATTTTTTTTAATCAGCGAGCTTGCGAGCGTTCATTAAAAGTGTTCTTTGATTTGGTAGCACATTAGCTATAATCACGATATGTAGCATTGGAATTTTCATAGCATATATTTTCTGCTTTATTTGTGACTAGTGTTTATGATTTATTAAGCGTCCGTAGTTCAGTGGCTAGTGAGTGAGACTCATAATCTCTCGGTCGCAGATTGAATCCGAGACAGCGGATTTTTTAAAACTAATTCGAGGCTTATTTCTACCTTTTCTAATTGACTTCATAGAGCTGCTTTTGTCGTGTTCTCCTTATTGTTTGTGATGCGCAGCTTCGCCTCTGTGTGGAACTTTACTGCAACAGAACATTTTGAGCATGTGGTATTTAAATTTAGAGTCTTTTTTTTTCAAAAATTGCTTTTCATGTTAGTAGTAATTCTACCAACTCGAATTTTAAGATTCAATGAAAATTGTTCAGGCTCTTATATAGGTCATGATTTTTTTTTCAGGAAATGTCTGGCTTTTCGCGGTTTGACTTTTGATTTATTTTCAGCTCATTTCTTTTGTTAAAAGCAAGGGAAACTCCACAATCGAACAGCGAAAGTGTAAAGGTCAAGAAAAACTTGATTGACTTCTAATTTAAAAAAAAGGAATTTAATTATCAGATTTCTCATTTTTTTCTGTGGAAATTCGAATGTTGAGATGTTTTCAAAAAAAAAACAAGTCAGTGTTTTTTCCTGCTTACTTGTGTTAAACTCAATAGATTCTCTACAAACGACAGTTTTTTCTGAGGGGAGGATCATCAATCAAGCCAGCCACTAATGTTTCTTTTTCTGGAATTGAAAAAAATTTGATTGCAATTACAGCGAACCTAGTGTTATTTTTAGGACCAGTGTCTATAAATGCAACCTGAAATCATTTGAATAGATGAGTGTGAACGTATTATCTTGTCTTCGTGCAAACATTGAAGTTTTTCCATTTTAATCTTCCGCTGGAGTTTTCTGGAAAAATGATCAACTCTAAAAAGAAATGGAAAACCAAAAAGTTCTATCTTTTGAAATAAACTTAAATTTAATTACCGTTGCGATAAGTAAGAGTGTTGGAATCGGGTACGATACTTTTTTCCGGAATTAACGATGTTCACAGGACTCATCTTCTGGAGCCTGGACTACATCAATGCTTCCCTTATTATAATTTTAAATTCAATCAAACGTTCTAGCGCATCTGCCGTAGAGGTATCACGGCTCGAGACCGCAAAGGCATGTGGTTCGAATCCGGCTCTTGCAAACTTGAATTTTTATGCTTTTTTGGAATAAGGCCCGTCTGCTTATGTTTGTCGGCTTAGTCCCCGTAGTCCAATTTTTTTTGAAGGTTCAGCTTTTTTCTAAGTTGCTCTAGCACTCCTGTTTGACGACAAAGCCGGGAAGTTTCCAGTCGGGATCTGTTTTTTTTTGCAAACTGAAAGTTTTCACCTATGTTAGATTTTGTCTGTCTGCTTATTTTTGCCGGATTAGTCCCTGCAGAAAAAGGATTTGTTGGAAGTATAGCTTTTTTTGTATCTTTCCGAAAGCTCATTGTAAAATTTCCTATGATGCAGATAATTTTTTTTTGGGATCTTTTTTGGCCTTTTTTGCGATTCTTTTAACTTTTTATGATGAAATCGTTTTTTTAATATTCTCTTTTCACTTTTTGCTTTCATTTAATTTTTTCAACAGTCACTCGCTTTTGTATCGCAAGTGGTGGGAAGCTCACTTTTGCCTCTGTGTCCAACTGTCTGTTGGCTATGTTTGTTTCTTATGCTGTCAGTTCAAATTTGGAGAAGTTTTGCTTTAATTTTTTTTTCAAAATATAAACCTGTTAACCCAGTGTGTGATCTCGATGATTTCTTTGCTAGAATCAAAATTGTTTTGCAATTGTTCCGACCATTTGAAACATGGGTAGGAACTTTGTATTCGGGTGTGGAGGAACTTTGTACTTTGTATCGTTGAGTAATATATCATTTTCAAGCCCTTTCAGTCGTGATTCAAACAAAATATCAAAAAACATTTCGAGTGTCGGGAAAAACCAATTTGAAATTTTTGATTTTCCGTCTAATTTCGAGTGAGCGAGCAGACTTACATAAGTTTATTTTAATAGCTTAAAAGCTTACGATTGCTTAATTTTTCTTAGTTTTAGCTTAAAGTAAGTTTTTTTTAGTATTCAGTGCCTTTTTGGAAACAAAAATTCAACAATTCAAAAAACTGCTAAACAATTTTTTTTGATTTTTTTGTCATTTTTCTAATTTGCTTATTTTACCATGACTGTCGAATATGCCTAAACTCTAGTTTATCATTTTTGTATTTTTGTAAGACTATGGTCGGAACATTTTGTGCTACTTGCACACTAACCTGCTATCCTTGTTATTATTTTGTATTTTTGCAGGTGGGTATGACAGTAGAGTGGCTGAAAACGTAGACCATTATGAAGAATTATGGAATCTTGCGCATTCGTACAACTTTGTAGCTGATGGTCTAAGTGACGTCGAAAATATAAACAGCGGCGACAAAGTTCACTTTCTCAAGTCCCCTTCTCACATTGAGAAGTTGAGACTTCTTGACCTAGCTTCGGTGCTGTTGTACACGCCGAGTGGTGAGCATTTTGGGATAGTGCCAGTTGAAGCCATGTACATGCGGACGCCAGTTGTAGCAGTAAACTCAGGAGGCCCTCTGGAAACGATTCTAGATGGTGTCACTGGGTACCTTAGTGAACCGGATCCGAAAAGTTTTGCCCAGTCTGTGGAAAAAGTGCTTCTGGCGAGGTGTGGTGATGAAGCTGAAAAGGGAGACGCGAATAAAGACGAAGAGAAAATGATTTCTAAAATGGGAGATGAAGGAAAGAAAAGAGTGCAACACAACTTTTCATTTGAGGCATTCGCGTCAAAACTGGATCATTATTTGACTTCGAGAATTGGCTGACAAAAATTCTTTCAAGCGATGAGATGGTTGTTTGATTCGTCCTGACCGAGAAAGTGGCGAATTATAACTAATCAATATCCTCTAACGTGGTGCTTGGTTTAAATCTGTATCTACTCTTCATGTTCCTGTAATCATTCTTGATATTTGAACTGATTTTTATCAGACTAAAACAATTTATTAGGATTTGAAGAAGAATTTGAAATTATTATTTTTTTAAAACTGAAAAGTTCAACCTTTATCTAAGCTGTTTTAGATAAGGCTGGTTAAGTTAAAAATGGTCTAGTTTTTTTGTTTGAATTTCAGTTTAAAATAGAATGTGACAGACTCAAAATGGATAGATCGGAGGCTGATTTTTTGAGACAACTGCTGCGGGGAACCGAGGGCGGATCTGTTGATACCTTAGAAGGAAGTACTACTATTGCTGCTTCTGAAAATATTGCCGGGAGCCTATTCCCGGAAGACGATTTTGTAGACACCTATTTGACCGACTATGACCCCTTCCGGCCGGAGATTGTAGTTACAGAGAAAGGCGCCAGAGCACTGTGTTACGGAGGATACGTCTATTCGCTGAACAAAGCCAGTGCGCACAGTATATACTGGGTATGCAGGGAACATGGTATGGGTTGTAGAGGTAAAGTGAGAAGCAGTTTGTCGATGGATTTGTTGAGAGATGTCAATCATCACAACCATGCTCCAAGTCCAGCCGAGGTTCGCCAAGTTAAAGCCAAAGCTGCAATTAAAAGCAAAGCCTCAGAGGCATACAAACCAAAAGAGAAATCTTCGAGTAAAAGCAAACCGGCAAATGCACATTCTAATGAAGTTACAGGTGCGGAACTAGTTAATATGAAGTTAGAGCCAAGTGGAAGTGGAGGAGCATCTGGTTTTCTGGATGACGGTCTTCTGTTCTTGGACACTGCAGCAGAAGAGCTTCCAATGGAACCAAGTGTTCTTGAAGAGGTGAACATAGATGGAATCTGGTCCATGACTAAAGAGGCCACGCCAAAGAGGTTTCTGCTGTACGACAATCGCAGCTCAGGTCAGAGTCGGCTACTTGTTTTCGCAACAGACGAGCAGCTGGGATACTTGGCTTCTCAAACAAGGCTGTACATGGATATTAGTCCATCTTTGGCACCTTCATTATTCAAATATCTGGTCATTCTAATGACAGACTTAGGCGAAGAGATGATTCCTTTGGTTTACGCTTTTGCAGCCGGTGATTCTCCGGATATTTTTGAGGAAATTTTTACAGTGATCCTTAGCAAGTGCCAGGACCTAAGCTTACGATTAAACCCAATCAAATTTATTTTGGGTTACAACGTGAATTGCGTTGATGCCGTTAAGCGATTGTTCGGCAATGATTTTGCGCACGAGGGGAAGTTTTATCATTTGAGTCAGTTTGTATGGCATAGTATCCAGACTCTGGAACTGACGGGTTTGTGTCAGCAGTCGGAGACGTTCAGACTCATCTGCTGTGAGCTGGTAGCACTTGCATTCTTACCTCCCGATCAGGCAAGGAAAATTTTGATAGAAAATAATTTCTAGAAATATTAACAATAAACTGGAAAGGGCCACGAAGTAGAATTGAGATAAATGTCTCGAAGTAAAACATTATCTAAAGGACAGCGATGTGTTTGTTTAATATTAGAACAAAAGTTTGATTGTTTTGATGAAAATGCTTCCAATGTTGGTGTGTCATGTTTACGTATTCGTTCCGATCATTTGAAAATGGGGAAGAACTTGTGTTCGGTTGTGTTTTAGTTTTTTCTTTTTTTTCCACGCAAAATCAGATACCCCAAATAATCATCGGAATGGGTCGTGTGATATATCATTTTAAAGCCTTTTCAGTCATAATTTGAACGACATTAAAAAATTTTCCCAGTGTCGAGAAAAACTAGTTTAATTATTTTAATTATGAAGAAAATTTTAATTATGAAGAAAACTAGTTTTGGATGCTTAGCGCTTAATCGGCTGAAAAGCTCATTAAAATTTAAAATATCGTGCAAAAAATTTGAAATTTTTTTTCAACGTTTTTTTTTTTCATTTTATTCTTTATTAATTTTTTTGAATGCAAATATTGTCGAACATGCTTAATTCACTAATTTTCTACGCGATCGTACAGTTCTCAAATGACACCCCACTCTAAAATTGACACTAATTTGAAGAAACGTAAAAAAATCTTTCGTTTTTTTCAATATGATCGGAACATTCTGTGCTATTTGCACAGCAACCGGTTACCCTTGTTTCGATTATATATTTGATCAAACTGGATTATGAATGATCAAACTGGAATTAAACAGGTGTGGGAGGGCATGGGCTTCATCAAACAGACGGCAATTCGTGAGTTAGAGAATGGAGCTATGAGGGAGGAGACACGAGGCCAAGACGGACATGCTTACTCTGAGAAGGTCAAGGAACTTCTGGACATGTTCGACACTCTGTTTGTCACAGGGCGTGTAAGTCGATAACCAGATTGTTTAAAAATATATGCGCGGATTTAAAAAAAATGTAAATGCGCGTAGAGTCAATAGTTTTGATGTTAATGGTTGTTATTATCTTGATGGGAATTAATTTAAGCTAAAATCTGGCAAGGATGGCATTTGAAGTTTAAAAAATAAAATGATAATGATTGATATCGCTTAAACGAAAATAATTGGTTTTCCAAAAGTAGCACCAAAATCTGAATCGACGGTTTGAACGCGTTGATTCTTATTACTGTGTTATGATGAAAAAAATGACTTTGACTGCCTGCATTCATTTTTATCGTCTAATGTTTACACAAATTGAGAGTTCGATTGAATTAGTAAAGCGTCATATATTCGATGTCAAGCAAAAAAGTTTGAAGATTCAGCGGTTCGTATGCTTCGATCAATCATTCATATGCTACTAGGTTGATATTTATTAAGTTGGGTGTTCGATTCCAGTCGTTCGATCAAAGACCTATTTTATCAAAGTGACTTGTTTTCAAATCATTTTTGTTTTTCAAATCATATAAAATAATTTATCTCCAATAACGGGTGTTCTTTTGAAGTTCCCGCTTAGAGTGATAGTATTGTTTTAAGTTATACTCAAACTGAGTTTTTAGGTAAGTGGAAAACAGAAGCCAAACGGAGACCTAGAAGTGTACCAAATGCCGCCAATGTTTCCAGTGGAGGCCTGGAATCTGTTTTCGAGGACACTCAATGAGGATCCAACAGGAAGGAACAACATTCTGGACACTTGTGGATCCCATCTAAGTTATGTGAACTCAGTGACGAAGCCGCATGTGTTCAAGGCACTCTCACTCATTCGACAGGAACAAAAGGTTTGTTAACCATTTTTCAAGCAAGCAAGACCGATAATCTAGTCTAGAGATTTTTAAATGATGGAAAGCAGATGTTGCGCATCTTTTGGCTGATATAGGGTGGGAACTTTTCATTGGGATGTTTAGCCCTTGATGGAATTGAGATTTTTGTAATTGAGTTTTGGAATTGAGACTTTTGGGGAGCGGTGGTGAATTGGTTAGGTCTCCGCCTCTCAATCGAAAGGTCAGAGTTTCGAGGCCCATCATGATGCGTGCTCATTGCTTGAGGGTGATGCAACATTACCCAGCCCAGAAAACTAACCAAAAAAATTGCATGTAGTTCTTAAACGGGGGCACAACAGCCGTTCGCCGTGATGAGCTGTACAGCTCTTGTGTTGGTCCTTTCCCCCGAGGATAAATGGTCTTAAGTGTTTGTATAACTTAAATTAAAACCAGCATAGCGCACTTGCACATCCTGCGTTTATATTCTTTTCCAAATTGCGCTTTTTATTTTCTCTTCGCAGACAAAATTTCACACTTGGTATTTGAAATTCAGGTTGCGAGGGAGAAGTTGGCGTCGTTCAATGAGGGCGTGTTTCCAAAGAAAAGAGCCAAGAAGAATCTCGTTCAAGGTCAACAAAAACTGGCCAGTTTGTGCAGCCACTACGCCAATGGTCAACTGACTCGCGATGCCTTTCTTGCCAGCGTTGCCAGAAGCATCCGCATTGGAGATTGGTAAAAACTGAACGAAAATGAATATGAAACAAAACATAGAACGCAAGCTGGAGTTAGATAGGAGGTCGTTGATATCGTTTTCATTCACCGATGGAGATTTGTCCGTTTTAAGAAGAGACCGGTGCAATGCTAAGAAGAAAAAGAATACCAGTGGCCTGGAAAAACAGTTTGAAGGATAAACGTAACTCAACTTTGAAAACAGCGTTTGATGCTTCAATTTAGATTACAATTTTGTTCTAAAAGAAAATTGATTTTCTTTCTTGGTCCGTTGTTTTTTTGTTTCGACGGTGCGTTCCGAAAAAACTTTACCTGGTGTCGAAAGATACTACCAATTTATCAGGAGTAGTTTCTCAGGTTATCTATGGTTACTGCTCCTAGACAACGTGACAAGATTAAAATATCTAAGTTTGTAGGCAAAGAGAACTGGCCTAATAGTTGTGCTCTTATGTGTCTTCGTCTTAGTTACCACATCTAAGAATCTTTTTTTTTTGCTGTACGAAAAAGAGTTCTGAGGGGTTTCTTTAGAAAGAAGTTCTTTATTTTATCAAAAAATTCGGCATGAAGGGTTTCCACTCTATGAAGAGTTTCAGCATTTACTGCTTGGTAAGTTGTGTCCGATAATAGCTCTGCATTCTTCTGTCTGGGCATGTTTTTTTTATCTAAAAAGGTTATTGTATCATTTTTTTTAGATCTAGTTGTGTATATTAATTACTTTTGCGGAAGAAATTGTCTTGTAATCGGGACCTAGACTTTTTGCCAATTGGCCTAGAGGTAACTTCGTCGTCTCTGCATCATACGGATTTTCATTCATCTGCTAAAATTTTGTCGGCTTAGTTGCCACATCGCGGATTTTTCTTGTGCCGCAAGCAAGTATCAAGGTATCATGTTTATTGTATTTTCTGGGATGAATTCAAGTATTTGAAAGTTTTTTGAAATCAATTTTTTCGGCTCAACTGGTTTCTAAAACTAAAATGTTTTTTTTTGTTGTGTTGCAAAACGAATTTACTCGAAAACTACTGTGCCTTTTCTCAAGTTAAGTGTTCAATCAGGAAATCCGGTTTTCATAATCATCTCTACTTCAGCGGTCTCGAACTGTTTTTCACAGAAAAAAAACTGGACGTCAGAAAGTTTTTGAACTTTTGACCGTTTTTAGACACTTTTTGACTACCTGAGATAGAAAAAAAAGCTCAATCGGAAGAACCGGTTGCGAGAATTCCTCACGCATAAGCTGCCATTCTTTGATTTTTTATAAGCGAAAGGTTAGGTACTCGAAAGTTTATTCCTATCAATTATTTTAGTATAGAAACAACTTAAGTTTTGGGCAAAGTCCAATTTTTGAAACTGCGCATTTCTTCCAGCATCAGTTTGAAAAATTCAAACAGTATCGAATAAGTACCTCCAGCGGTAGCTGGGCCCCAGTTGTCTGTTATCGAGACTACTAAACTCTTGGTTCATCTATTTTTTCTTTGGTTTTTGCATTTTTTTTTCGTATTCTTATGTTTTTATGTTCGTTAAATCGCAAGTGTTGCTAAATAATTTGTTTCTTGCAAATTTCCGATATCATGAATGAGATCGATAAGACTTTGGCTCCAAATTTTGAAATGATCAATCAACCACAACTGGAACTCATTTCGCTTCTTTGTAATACTTTGCTAAGACACTTAGTCTACCGTTTTTTATGCATGCAAACGCTTAACTTGTACTGTGATAGTTTTTTCCGACCTAACTTGAACTAATTAATGTTCAATTTCAGTTCCAATAATGGATTTAATAGCAATGTTTTATCCTCGTCATGAAAGCCAATTTATTGCTTTTTTATATGTACTATTAGATAGTGTTGACTTCTTAGTGCAGCACAGCGATGTTGCCTAGATGTAAAGGCAATTTACTAAATTTTAAGTGGTACGTTATTCGATAACTAAAGCTGATTTTGTTTCCTGATTGCCCTTGCGATAAGCAAGGGTATTGCAAACAGGTACTAGACTATTTTTGCCCGTAAACTTTGTTCACAGGACTCTTGTCGTGGAGCCTGGACTTACTCATATGCTTCTTTTATTACAAATCCAAGTTCAATCAATCATCTGGCGTAGAGTTCTCGCATCAGCGTATCTACTTGAGACGGCAAGGGCTTGTGGTTCGATTTTGGCGTTGACCTGTTTTTTTTTTAACTTGAGTTTTTGTGCTTTTTCTGACTATCGTCCGTCTGTTTATTTTTGTCAGCTTAGTTCCCGCAGCCCAATTTTTTTTTGAAGTTCAGGTTTCTTCTAAGCTGCTGTAACACCCAAGGTTGACGACAAAGCCAGGAGTTCGATTGCAGTCGGGACATTGATTGTAGTCAGGAGTTCGATTGTAGTCGGCTCATTTCTGCCAGCTTAGCTCCCGCAGAAAGGACTTTTTTGAAAGGTCAGCTGTTTTCTAGCTTTCCGAAAGCTCCTTGTAAACTTTTGAATCATGCATGTGAATTTGTGTCGGTCATTTCGGGATTTTTCTGCGATTTCTTTGAATTTTATAACGAAAACGAGTTTTAAGGTAATTTTTTCAATTTTTTCAATTTTAAGGTAATTTTTTCAAGGTAATTTTTAAAATTTTGTTCCAGCTCAGCTGCGAGAATGATCGGACTGAAAGTTTTTATTTTGCAGATTACTTAACACCAATATTACAAATGGCACAATGAGATTTAAATGAACTCTTGATTTTATTATTATACGATTTATTTATTAGTTTTGCTACTATATCGTCTCAGTAAATTAATTCTACTGCCTTTAACTGCAAAAAAAACAACAGGAAATAAACTAGAAAAAATTTAAATTGAAATAGGACTTTTTGACTTTTACTCCAATTCGAGTAGTCCGACTGACTTTGCTTTAATAAAGAAACAGTGAAAATTTGGTATAATTCAAAAAAAAAAAATCCGCCCATTTATAATACAATACTTTTTTTTAGTTGTGATAGAAGACATTTATAATGGGGTACAAACATGTCTCCTGAGACTTAATCTTCTGGATAAGGTATTGATTCCGGCTCATGGTGTTGGCTCGTTTCATTTTTAAAGGTTTTTTTTGCGTTGTCTTCACTTATTTCTGTTTTTAGACCCAATACTTGAAATTTTTGCTTGTGTTTGCGAGAGTGCAGATTTGCCTCTGATTAAGTTTTTAATGAATCTATAATAGCAACAATATTATTGTTTTGTGATTTTAAAAGCTGTTTGCCTTCAGTTAAAAAATGACTATACAGAATTTTTTAAATTTCAAATCATTGCATTCTCATCATTCGTCTTCGTACGTTTTTTTAATGCAGAATTTTTCATTGGTTTCAAGTTTCATCAGTTTACAATATCAAAGTATATATGAAAATGAGCTTTTTCAAAAAATTTTCTCACAAACTTTTTTAACGGAGAAAATTTGCGGTAATGATCAGTGGTACCTAAATAGCAACCGGCTTGACTGGGTCAAAGTTGTGTATCTATTTTACTCAGAAAGCAACCAACAACACTAGGTTACAATTGCTACCTCGAATTGGTTGGCAGTTACTGAAAGTAATTTCTTTATGAATCATAAAAACGTTTAGATTATGAGTCTTAAAATTTAGATTTTTTTCTGTTTTTTTAAACAAGCGATCTTGAAATAGTCAGTTTAATCATTTGAGCACATGAGGCAAAAGTACTATGCGTAAGCAAATTTTAATTTGTAACTTTACTTACCCTGACTTTGTTATTTCTCATTTTGCTTTTTTTTTTGCTTCAAAGCATTAGTAGACATAAATGGTTCCGGTTTATGTTTTACGACTTTATGATCAAGTTTTTGCGGCATTTAATCTAGCTATAAAACCTTTTTTATCCGTGATATGAATCCTATTTTAAAAAATATAATTTTGACGCTTTTTGCTTGTGATTGCGAAGTTCAGCTTCTTTTTTGTACTTATTTTCATTTCTCATTTCATTTCTCCATGGATCATCTGAAGCATTTTTTTATGATTTTTTTTGCTCTGATAGTGGGTGTCAATTTCATTTTATTTTTGGTTGTCTGTTATTTATCAATGTGTCTATATTGATTTTGAGTGAAAAGGTTCTTTCGCGACTCTCCAGAAGCTTGAATAATTTGTGGTTTCACATTTATGAAACTGCAATAGTTCGTCTTAGACTGGAAGCAAATAGTGATTTTTTGCTTTATGTTCATCCATGCATGTTTATTGTTTCGATAAGCAAGAGTGTTTTCATAATTTGCGTTTGTAAAAACTTCTCCGCTTGTTTCCGGACGTTTCGAACTTCAAATTTTGCTTACTGATTTTTCTCGTTATATGAAATTATTAAAAAAGGGCTTTGATATGAAAGTAAGTTAGACTAATAGTATTTTTGCCTGAGCTTGAGAAAAAATGCAATGTGTCGATTCGTTAATACTTTTTTCTCAGATGTTTTTTTCAGCACGATTGAGTTTGTCAGATAAATCTTTTTGAATCTCAAGAAAATTTTTAAAAATTACGCCTGCAATTAGCATGCGTTATTAGCTCGGATTATGGATATCTTAGGTTATGTTTTGAGTAATTAATACGAGGCCAAGCTGTGCACTGGATAGGCTCTCAATTTTCTGTCTGTAGGTCTCTGGAATCCAGAAATATGTCTTTAAACATGTTAAAATTTAGTCGGAACGATCGAAGAAAAAAAGGAACTTAGACAGCGCCCTTGTTGCGGCATCAACTTACAATTCAAAAATACACGGTTTGGCCTCGTAATGACAATTTTTTTTGAATCATATGATAGCTTGAGGCCTCTATCTATTGACTACGCCTGGGACCGCAAAGGTCCCTTGCTCGAATCCGGTCAGAATTTGTTGATTTTCATCCTAAAACATTCCTTTTCAAAAGTATTGATTAGTACGGAAGCTCTGGATTGTACTATTGAGCCAGTTTTAGTTTTTTCTATGCCTATCCGAAGCACTTTACTTGATTTAAGGGTAATTTTATTTAACGTGTTGCTACGCTCGAGACGGCAAAGGTACTAGGTTCGAACCTGAGCAGGACTTGTTTTTTTTTTCAAACTGAAAACATTCAGTTACAAAAAAATGTTGACCTGTTGTTTGTTTGTTTTGGTTTTTTTATCGACTGTATTTTATAGTTTTATAGTTTCAAGTACCCTGATTTAGCACATTATTTTTAGTTTTTTGCTTAAAGGCTTTATTTGATCTATTCGGCTGAATTTTGCCTTTATAATTTTAAAATTTTGCGTTGTGTGAAGGGAAACATGATTTCCACCTCTCTTTTTGGACACACTGGACCCAAACAAAATGATGAAAATCTTAGACTTTCAGAACTTGATAGTTCAACATTTTTCTTGGTAACTATTTTTTTTCCGGCTCAACGGGTGTTTACTCAAGTTTAATCGGCTTAGTTGCCGCTCGATAATTGTTTCAAGATAATTGTTTCCCTTCGATGATTTTTTTTTGCTGAACGTGTTTTCCTCAGATTGAACATATTTCGGAAAACAATCTGAATTTTTTAATTGTGGTTTGCTTGAGACTTTTTTCATTCGCGTTCGACTTCAAGTGATTTTCGTTTCATTTTTTGTCTGTTAGCTTGTAAAGCTTTGTTTGTAGTGCTACGCTTCGCCTCTGTTTGTAGTGCTACGCTTCGCCTCTGTTTGTAGTGCTACGCTTCGCCTCTGTTTGAATTTTTGTAACTTAATTTTGATGATACGAGCCGAGCAGTTTGCAAGCATTTGGACATGTATATGATTTTTTAAAGAAATTATACAATTACTCTTGCAGCCTTTTTCCGACCATTTGACAAATGAGAACTTTGTATTGGGTGTTTTAATTTTTTTTTCGTTTTCCACGCAAAATGAGGTACCACAAATGATCAGCGGACTCAATTGAGTGATATATCACCTTAAAGTTTTTTTCAGTTTTGATTCGAACCACATAAAAAAATTTCCAAAAAAATTCCCATTGTCGAGAAAATCCGGTTTGAAATTTTTGTTTTTTCGTTTTAATTCGAGCGAGTAAAGCAAGCGAGCAGGCTTAAAACAGCTAAATTATGGCTAATTTAAGACCTCAAATTTTAGTTTTAAGCAATTGAAACTAGTTTTTGGAGTTTTTTAGCTTCATTTTGCAAAAGTATTCTAGTCATTTCTCTACAAAAATTTTTGTGCAATTTGCCAATAGTACTATGACTGTCTAATATGCATAAATTATGTTTATACGTCAGATTTTTTCATCACACCGAGCAGAAAAAAGTGCACTAATTTGGAAAAAAAAACTCTCTAAACCGTAGTTTTCTAAAGACCATGGTCGGAACATTCTGCGCTACTTGCACAGTAACCTGGCTATCCTTGTTTTCTTGAATTTTGCGGAAAGTTATTTGAAATAAAATATCACTTTTGCAGCTCAAAGTTTTTTGCTTGATGGCAAATTAATAGAAAAATTATTTTGTGATACTCGGTCATAACCATTTACACATGAATGTTTTAAAAGCTAATTGTCGGTGTTAAAAAAACTTCTTTTGTCAATTGTAGAAGTGTTACCTAGGAGTCTTGCTGGATTAAAATGGCTTGGCACTGCAAAAAACGGCTTGATCCTAAAAAAAGTTTAAATTTCAAATTGATGATTTAACATAACATGATTTATTATCAAATTGGCATCAACAGTTTAAACTCTGAACAAATATTGTTGCAAAGCGTTATTATTACTTGTGCTAAAACAAGGCAAGGAAAATGTTTATTGAATTTCACTTTTTCTTATCACAAATGGTATCACAGCTGCGCGTTGAAACCACTTCTAAGTTTGTAGCGAACCTCTGGTATAAGGGGGGTGGCATAGGACGAATATCACCACAAGTGCCTTGATTGGAAATGGTCGAACCTGCAACACTTCTGGGAGGCAAAATAGGAGCTGGTTGACTATTTGTATTGTTTGAGCTCGGAGGTTCCGATACTTTGAGTAGGAGGTTCTCGTCGCTTTGGTAACTCTCCAGGGTACTGTGAACAGGCGGCTCCTGGATCTGAAGGAGGTGTGATGGAGTTGGCTCGTGAGGAGGTATCGGAGGATTCTTGGTTTGTTGGGTGGCTCTATGCAGTCTGTGTAGAAGGAATACACTTGTGAGAAATTGGTCCCGGATAATAATTTGAGTCTGATTAATTTCTTAATCAAAACTGTAGCTTGATCTAAACTGGGTTTTATCTAACAAAGTTTGATGTATACCTTTTAAATTGAATTTTTTGGGCACCTTTTTTTGGTGGTTTTGATGTTTTTTTAAATTGTCTATGGTGTTTACATTTTGAGGGATCAGTTTACCACACTAGTACCTTTGTTGTCGCCTCTGTTCGGTACTTTTCACTCGGTGGAGTTCAAACATTTCGGACAGGAGGTCAGAGACGAAAATGGAGGAGGTGTTCCGACTTAGCATGCGGATGATGAAGACCCCGTCCTGTTTGAGGTAGCCGTGGAGGAAGCGCCGAAGGAGTTTCTTGTCTTCGGCCGTCTGCGAGAACGCAACAAATGTAATTAAATTATTTTTAAAATTACATAATGCGATTTTTTAAATTACATGATGGTACTAATCAACTATTTCTACCAAGATAGCCTAATAAGTTGGAATTCGCTATTTCGTTTATATTAGTTTAAAGTAAAGTTAGCTTTTTCTCCTTGTATTCTCTACAGAGTGCAGCCGCTGCTTACCCAATTTGAAATTCAGGCCTTAAAATTTGCTAAATTCGAGGATTTTTAATCATTTCCTGAGTCCCCCTCCATTTATGGCACCTGGTAAGGAATTTCCCCCGTATGAAAGACTAATTCATTGAATAAGATTATGCTACTTTTGTACTATGAAAAGAACCCCCCTTGCCTTAGGGGGAGGGGGATAGTAAACAAGATCCAAAAGCTGTCCATAACTTTTGTTGAAACTAGAGCAATTTATAGTCATTATATCGCTAGCATGTTGACAGTGGGTTTTACCTGCAGTTTGTTGCTGAACTTGAGGTGTTTGCGGACATACTCGTCGCCCATGTAGCTGCAGTTGAGGAACCATCTGGCCAGACTCAAACTGGTCACCCCGAACACAAATGCCAGCCAGAACCACACCACCTAAAACACAATAAGCAGGACAATAATTAGTATGTGGCTGTTAAAATCCCTCAACTATTCAAAGAAACTGCTCAGCATTTTGAAGCAATTTCGTTAAAATAAAATTTTATACTTTTCGATCCTATCTGCAATGAAGAGTATCTAGCTGCTTAGTTTCGGTAAATTGAGTTGAGATCATACTCGTAAGGAATACTCTCGTTAAAATCATTTCATTAAAAATTATACTCACGAGGTTACAGTTATACTCACGGGATTAAAGTTCTACTCATGAGCTTAAAGTTAGACTCACGAGATTAATTATACACATGAGGTTATAGTTATACCCACGACTCGTGGGTATAACTTAATCCTCATGAGTATAACTTTAACCTCGTGGGCCACGAGGTTAAAATTACACTCACGAGTAATGCTCATAATAAATTTTTACTCACGAGGAATACCATCTCGTTGAAGAGATTAATCGGAAGAACACAGTTCATGTTGTGCACTAGAATGCTCTCTTTTCCCCTCTCCTGCACCTTGCACCACGTGACTCTGGGGAAGAGACTGGTGACGTCAGAGAGCCGCTTGCCCTCCAATCCCATGCTGAACAACACGTCTATCCCGTACCATCTGTACTCCTCGCCTGTAAATTGCATTACAAGGTTTGCAAAGATTTTGATATTGGCTGGAAAATTCATTCAATTTAAACATTTTTTTGTTCAATCAAAATTTCTGCTCCTGAAATTTATGCCAAATTACAACATACTTTAATTGAATGAGAGATTTCTTTTTTTTAGTACATACTGTTTACTGAACGGACATTTTTCTTGACTAAAAAAAACTGGAATGGGTTTTAACAAGTAATTCTGCAATCAATTTCAATCAAAGCAATCAGTTTTCCGCTTTATATGTGCCCTTTTTATTATCAAAGTGATGGCTAGCAAAGGTAAATATTTTACCCCAACTAAAACTGTTGTTCATGGTGCTTTAAAATATATATATTTTTATAAAAAAAAACAGAAGACTGAATTGATGTCCATAGTGTTAAAAATGTTTTTTTTTTCATAAAAAAGACTGAATGCACCAACCTAGCCATAGTGAGAGTAGGTACATCTGACCGACTACATTTAGTAGATAGAGTGTCTTGACTGCAGGGTAGATGAAGGAGAGGAAGTTGCCAAAGTGTCTACTCACAGACAACACACAGCACCGACCAGTCAGCACTGCCCGCACTCTCTCCCAACAACCACCCTCCCCCTCCCCCACACACTTCTGCAGCTCTAGTAGAAATCAGGAAAAAGGAAACTCAGGGATCTCCTAAACTGTCCCTCTCATTCTCTTAGACATCTGGTGTAAAATTATCTAAGCACATATAAAGTGCTCATTCAACAGTCAAGCAAACTTTGTACGTAAAAACAATTATCATCCTGTAATGAAATGCAGAAATTCAATATTATATCCCGAGACTGCTCTGAAGGCCGTGAGAATCACTATTTGACGCCTCTTCATCCTGTTGAAATAAATAAGGAAACCGCACCTCTGCGGACCCTTAAAAGCTTCCGATTAACTTTCACGAAGCCCGATTAACTTTCATGAGATGGTTGGGGTCATATCGTTGCTTGAAAAACTATCAAACTCCTTGAGACTTTTTTATGTTAGGACATGTTTTTTGTCAAGCCTCTTCTTTCAAAATTCAATAATTATCATGAAACCAGAAATTGAAAAAGTGGTAACCCGATTCAAAGATAACGCGCGAGGCGATCCTAACAACGAGCAGGTCAACTAATATCTGTCTTCAAATATATCTATGTTTTTATGAATGCTACATACCTAAATATCTGTCGATGTGTCTGGCCAGACGAGTGATCAAAGTGTGCCATGCTAGTTCGTCTATCTGGATGTGGAAACTGGTCGCATGCAGTGCTATCTGTTCCAAGTCCAGACCAGCATACAGATAGACTGTTCTCCACAGGAGGTGAGGAAACAGGAAAGTTAGCGCCTAAAAACAGGGCGAACAATCCAGATTTGGCTGCGGGGTCAAAATTCTGGATCCGTCGACCTCCACAACGCAAAGGGTTCGCCCAGGGTATTGTTGTCCTGAGCTCAAAATTGAAAAAATATTCCAACTGTGATCATTTTTCGTAACGTTACGGGGGTTTGAAGATTGCCATTTTGGCCAATTTGGGACAATTCACGCGCGATATAATTCGCGCTATTAACGCGTAAGCAGAGATTTAATCAGTCTTAGAAATTGTTGCAAATTGGTTGAAAGAAGCTTATTTGCCATAATTGATTTGTTACAAGGAGCGAAACCTATTGTTTTGTACTTTATATGGCGTGTGGGGATGATTTTCATAGAAAATTTTTCAAATTTCAAAAAAAAATTTCATTTTATTTTATTTCCTTTAATTTTTTCATGTTATTTATGTTATTACTGCTCCATAAACGTTAAAAGGCAGTCGGATCTTTCAGGGCTTCGCCCTGATACGAGCAGTCTTTTTTTATTATCCAGGGCTTCACCTCTTTCTTTCTGTAGATGAAAAATTCTTTCTGTAGAAGTTTCATTTGCTCGAAACTAGCTCGTTAAAAGAAACACTTATGGTTCCAACAAAATGAGTTAGGACCGATGGGTATAACTCATAGAGTAATTTCGGATAGGGTACACCGTCTGCTCGTCACGCTATCTTATTTTCGGCCGGATAGATTCGTGCAACTTCTTAGTCTAATACCGATCCTAATCTTACTCTTATACTATCTAGTCTCAGGTTGTTTAACTAGTCTCTGCTAGGCTCAATAGATCTAGGGTATACTGGTTTATTGCGGCTGCTGAAGTGCTCGGGAGAGTCCAACTAATTTCTAAGTTAAATTCAAATCTCTCTGGTGCTGAAATTACAAGTAACTTCAGCACTTACAAATAAGTGGGTTGTTAGTTAGATGGATCATGATTGGTTAATATTAAATACTTTACATTGGTAAAACATTTAATTTATCCAATCATAAAATATAGTTTAGATCAGGTTCCACCCATCCGGGTTTTACAGAGTTTTTTAGAACAGTTCTTCTGTAATTCAAGGGTGGATGATGGACGTTGGTATTTGGCGAACATCATAATTTTCTTTCGCTTCTTCTTGTGACAACGACTGAGTCTCTGCAACAAAGTCAATTCTGATTCCAGAATGGTTGGCTATGTCAGGTTTTTCTGTTCTGCGTGGAGAACTTCTTTTGTGTATGATCTAGTTTGGGAATGGCGTGGAGATTGTGCGTGGAGGGGATGCCTGGTTACTCGGATCTGTACGTATACTTGAACATCGAGGTGGTCATTGGTCTAGTTCAATGAAGTCCTTTTCTGCGAAGTCAAGTCGTACTCTAAATCCTTTGAGTTGTGATTGTGAGCGGCATATCGATTGTAGTTGGTCATTCTCTCTCGAGTGTAGTGAGGTCGTCTTGTCTTTTGATGTTCGTCCTTGGTGTTGTATTCTGATCTATATATTGCATCATGTGATTTTACATTTTATAAAACTTTTATTAGTTTAATATTTTTTAATAATGATTTTAGTTAGTTGTTTTCACAAAAGCTTTTTGTTTTAGTTCGGTTATTTTGAAGAGTTACTCACCCTTGAGTAGCTCTTATTAAAAATAAAGGTGTGGTCACAAAGCGTGGATGTAGCGCGGTGGGTTAGGCCGGCTATAGAGCATGCTCAGGACGTCCTTTCCTGGTGGGTTAGGCCAGGAGTGGGAGTATGATTTCATGCGGTGTTTGTGAGGGGTCCTGTTATGTGACAACGTTTTATGTTGGGTTTGTTGTGGTTTTACTTATGTCTTGTTGGTTATGTACTTTTTCCAAAAAGCAAATTGTTTGTGGTATGGGTTTGTCTTTCGACTTTTTTGTGTTTTATTATTTCTTTCTAAGACTTTGTAATAGTCTTCAAAAGAATAAATTATCCAGTTTTAAACTGGGTTAATCCGGTTTTGGTACCGTTGGTTTCCTTTTCTAAGTCATGCTGTTATTCTATGATTTGTGGTATTTAGTAAGCTGCGTTGGTTAGTTTTGTTTAGTATATGATTCCTTTCCAACCGGGTTAAAGGAAAGTTTGAAACATGTTATTGTATGTTAGAGTTGTTGAGTGTGAAAACTTGAAACTGAAATTCATTATTTTAAACAATTCTTCGTGGGCGATCTGTGCGAGTGTGGATAGAGTTTCTGTGCGAATGAATGAAAATATCAAAAGGTTAGTACTGCAATTGCATTTTATTAATTTACTACATAGAATTTAGAAATTTACTGCTAGTTATGGGGGAATTTTAAGATACAAATTTTCATCATATGTAGATTTACTGCTTTTGGGGGGAAATTTTATAAATTAATTTACTGCATTGGTATTATATTTATTTAATTGTTGGTGCAAAAGTTTAATAGGGTCTTAAACAGTTTTGAAGAAGTTTGCTATTTTTTATTTTTCTTTTGTGAATTTTTCAGATGATCTAGGATGAAGGCTAAAAATCTAAAGAAAACATGAATAAAGAATGGTGAGTTTTTAATACTGTAATTAATTAGTAATATTTACTTAATTCATACTTACCTGTTAGTCGTCGGGGAAAAAACCGTGGGGGAAGATGTCGTGAATTAGTTCTGAAGTTGTTAGTAGTTTAGCTAAGATGCGGATGATATTTTTAGTTTGAAGCAGTGGCCAAAGCAATTGAAGTGCCTTAATAGTGGTTAGTTCTTCAGTGCCTACTGCAAACTCATAAGGTGTGTTTTGGATTAAGTTATATAATTTGTGGTTAAATTTAGTGTTGTGGATGAATTCTAAAGATGGGATTTCTATAGGTTGTAGGAATTCGTGCGGGATAAGGAAGGGTCGGGATTCTTCGGCGTTGAAGGTCTTGGTGATGGGGCAGAAAATGTACATTTGGGTTATGGGGTCATAATTACGAAGAATACCATGGAGGTTAGTGTCTTTAATACAATATGTGAAATTTAGGAAATATGGTGAAGTGTATTTTGAATTGATGAATTGGAAACGATGGTGTGGTTGTCTAGAGGGTGTGTGGAGGTCAAAGTGATTTTGGATGAAACGATAGTAACTGTATGTATGTGTTTGTTTAGTGCGCAACATAATATCGTGTGAGCAGTGTAAATCTCTTTCGTGTGGTGCAAGGAAATGAAAGGTTAGTGAAAATATTTGGAAGCGTTCTTTAAAACTTTCGTATGCTTGTGTGTCTGTTAGTGCTTCTGAAATAATGTGATCAAACTTGCGGTCGAAGATGTTTAGTGTAAATATATATGGTGTCTTGATGAAAAATTTCTCGGTGATTTGTGGATTAGCGAAGCGATCGTCGTCTAAGAATTGATCTTGGTTAGCTCTAATGATGTTGTGATCGTAGTATTCTAGTGTATATTCATTAGCTCTAGGTGCAGTGTGTATTTTTAGTGATTTTTTATATCCAACGTAAGTAAACTGTCTAGCGGTTAGTGGTGTAGTTAGTCGATATAGCATGTCTTTGTTTCGGTCTATATCGATGGAAGTGCTGGATAAAGGTAAGCAAAGGGGGTTAGTGAAATGATAGTATGAAGTCCAAGAGAGAGTGGGCATTAAAACGTATTCATCTACAAAGTTGCGTGTTTCGTTAGCGTCGTGAGGGGTGTTTAAGGTGTATTGTGGAAATGAGGGTAAAGTGATAGCTAAAAATTCTTTAGTGTTAGTATGCTGGGGGTGGTTGATGTATTCACGGGCTGTTCCTGGTTTTGCTGGGAAAGGATGGTTGGGGAATTTTCTTTTAAAAGTGCGGTAAGCTCTATTAGTGTTTAGTGAAGATATAGTGGATGTGGATGATGGTGTTAATGATTCAGTATAATTTGAAGAGGGTGTAGGGGGATTGGATGAATTTGTAGTGGAGGAGATTTGGTTTATGGTCGGGGTGTTAAGGTGGTAGGGTTGTTGTTGGAGGGTAATAAAATTATCTAGCTCTGGGGAGATTCGGGGGGTGTCTGGAGAATGAGATGATTGGTCAGATTGGTATGAGGAGTAGGTTGGGGTAACTTGGGAAGCATAAGAGGGTGTCGGAGTGATTGGGTCAGGGTTATTGGACAATATGGGTTGAAAAGGAGGTTGAGAAAAATTAGAAGGGTTATGAAAATTATTGGATGGGGATGGTTCTGAGTCGGCAAATTCATCGGGGGTTTCAATATTCGGGTTATTTAGCTGTGAGATGGAGTATAAAACTGAAATATGTGAGTTAGTGTCGGAATTCATGTCTGATGTTACATTGCTAGATGGAAAATCGGGTGGCGGAAAAGCAAAAAGTGGTATGATTGGGATTGAAGAGGTAAGATTGGTTGGATGGGAATTTGATCGGTGTAGTGATCCAAGTTGGCGGCTCATCGTGGGCTAAAAAAATTATTATTTTGAGACTGAAAAGCGGTGGTATGGGGTTGTTCAATAATTTGTTCATAAGTATTATCATCTTGTGACTGGTGTGTCATTATATGTTGAATGGGACTTTGTGATGTGGTGAGTCGAAAATTTGGATTATGTGTGATTGCTAAATTTCGAAAATTTCGTGGGACTAGGGATAGTGGATGATTATTTGGTAGGGGTGGTAGTTGTGGTGCCGTTGGCTGTGTGTCGACATTGTTATGTTCTTCGTCGTATGTATTTTGTCGTGTTGTTATTTTTGTGTTATATTCTTTTATTTGTGCGTCTAAAAGAATTTTGTTTATAGATGTGGAAAAAATTCCAAAAAATCCTGCAAAGAGTATGCGTGCTACGCTTGCTTGTCTGTTTACTTGTGTGTGTATAGCACATGTATTGTAGATTCCTTTTAAGAGTGAGAAAAGAAATCCAATAAAGTTAAACATTGCGTATAAAATAGTCAATTTTTCTAAGATGTAGTAGGGCCATCCTAGAAAATCGAGGATCTCATTTTTGAGTGTAACAAAGCTAAAAATGTTGATTGGTGATATATCTTGGGGACGGTATTTTTCGCCGTTTAGATATA